TCTTATTTCGGGTTTTTAATTTATTTTCCTTACTATTTTTTGCTCTTTTCTGCACTTAGCATATTGTTCCCTACACTGAAAAATGTATAAGGATGCTATTTTTGTTCTCTCTGTCCCAGCTCCTCTGTAACATAACTTTTCATTGTTTGTTTATGGAACTTTTGTTCATATGCTCAGAAGATATTACATGATTAGAATGTGGTTTTAAGACAACAGACTTGGTGAGTTAAGGATTCTCTACTCAAATGGAGAGGCAGTTTGCCTACTTTGGATGTTTGTTTCACCAAACTAGTTTGCTGGGTCCCTTTAGGGACAGTACTGTGTTAGATGGGCTATAACCAATCTTTACATAAGGTGCCTTCCTCTGGTTTACTTTGAAACTCTTCCCCATTGAGAGATCTCTTTTCTAAGGTCTACATTAGTCGTGCACAAAAGTTTGTGACGTTTCTGTGTGGTTTTGTGCACATGTGCTGCTTCCAATTGACAGTGGGATCCGGGCAACACTTGTCTTGGGGTCTGAAACTTTTCCATTATTATCAAATTCAGTGAAAGATTTGAGCAAGTATTTGTTCTGAAAATTGGCTCATAAACATTGTTACGTTACAGAAATCTTATTTTTAAAGAGCATTAACTCAATATATTATAAAATTGTTCTTGGCATGATAGCTACTTTTCAAAATTTACAATAAGGAAGCAGACCTTTTTTTCCTAATTTCTAAAAGAGATGAATAAGCAAATTTCCTTCCCCCCCCAAAAAATGTATTTGATGCAGATACCTTTAAATTACACACACTGGATAGCATTCTGACTTATAGAAGGCTTGGGGGGTTGGTGGGATTGAATCAGAGATTTAGAGATCCTGTTCTATGAAACAGTTGCCTGTTGTAGACCCTGGGTGTTTTTGGGGTTTTTTTTAGCATTTTTAGAAATATTAAATTTCTTTAGAAAAATAAGCCATAGTCATTCCAAATTAACTATACTGAAATTCAATATTCACAATGACAATTCCAAATATGAACCATAGTTAGAATGTGGGGGGAGAAACTCTGGCTAAGAAGTTCAGTTCATTTCAATTTATTGTCATAAGTATAGGAGAGGAAATTAAAGATTTTTTTTAAGACTTAGAACTGGAGTATGAGTCTATAAATTTTTAAACAATACTCTTCTCAAAATTAATATTTTCCATCAAATCTAGCAATGAAGTTCATAATGTTTTTAAAGGATTTCAAGTCTAACCTGTAAATAAATGTTATGAAAGATTTTTTTTTTTTACTGTAAGTGCATGATACATAAATGAATTGGCTGGAGAAATTATTGAAGTCACAAAGTATATTTAGTAAACAGAAGATAGACAATTGCCCATTTTAGAGCAAATGCTTGTCTGTAATTAAACCCTGTGCAAACAAGTGGAAATGAGGCTTGATCTTGCATGTACAACACTCTTCTCTCTTTTATCATGAGAGGAAAAGATAGCACACATCCTCTTCCTGATTTAAAATAACTAGAATTTATTATTATTTCCAAAGTGGGGAGAACATTAAATGACTTAAAATATCATTTGTCGAAAGAAGCCTATATTTGTTAACAAGAATTTAAACTAATCACAATTTCCCTAGTTTGGGCATCAGTTTATATTAATTTTAAGGAGGGAAAGAGTAGTTTTGTTTTCACTGCAGTGATATATCCTAATCTACTTTTTAGAAATGGATTGCAATGAGTTCCTGTACTGGAGGCTTCTGGCCTGCAGTAGTGACTTAAAGCAGCCAGGCTCCAGTTGTGTGTTTGTTGCTAAATCAGTAAAATCATTGTAGTTTATCTATCTGCAGGTGAGATAGGTTCCGGATTCAAGGCCCTGTAGGCTAACATTCCAACATGAGATCAGAGATCATTTCAGAGAAAGCCTTAACACGGCTACTCTGGAGGAGGAGTAGGTATGGCCAGTGCTCATTTTTGCTTCTTTTCACATTGCATCCGAACAGATGCATATTGACATTGATTTCCGGAACAAAAATAAGATAGGAACTGAGCATTTTTAGTATGCTTTAAATCACTCAGAGCTAACTAATGAATCTGTTGTTCCAGTAGTGATAATGTACAGGCTGGCGATTGAAAAACCATTTAACATGAGTTTTCATTTAACAGGAAATGCTGAAGTTCACCTTGATATCAAAGGATAAAACACCTGCTTTTCTAGTACAATCTTTATTATGGTCATAGACCAGCATAATTTATAATGCAATACACAAAGCCTTCCATTATTAACCATCTTGTTGGATCAAGATATTCAGAATTCCTTCCTACATG